CCACCTCCCCATTTATGTTGTTGTTATCAACTTGTTGTTGTTAAGTGTTATCAAGTAGGTTCTGACTCATTGTGACTCTGCATAGGGTTTCTGAGGAGCAGCTAGCAAGGTTTTAAGTGCTGACTTTGTTGTCCAGTGCTTATCCTACAGTGCCACACCAGGACTGCTGTTAAATTTTTATACATCATGTGCCTTGTAACATATACTTTTTCTATGCATTAGTTATCTAAAGCATGAAGGGCATAACTAGAATTACTAAGAAAAAATACCTTAAAATTTGCGCTTAGACTTGCTTATGGAATTGCCTTTTATGAAGATCTTTCTACGTTCTACTTTAAATTATTGTCTTGTGTCCTTTCTTTCCCATCTGAAATTGCATTTAGCATTTCTTCTATGGCAAGTCCAGTGGTTACCAACTTTTAACTTTTGTTTATTTGGGAATATCTTAATTTTGCCCTCATTTTTAACAGTTCTTCCAGAGGCCATATTTTTGGCTGATCATTTTCGCTCAGCATTTAGAATATGCCATTCATTACTTTTTATCCTCCAAGGGTTCTGAAGAGAATTTGGCACTTAATCTTATTGAGAATTCTTTGTATGTCACCAGTCCCCATTCTCACTGAATTCAAGTTTCTCTATAATTAGCTTTATTTTTTTCTTTTAAGTTTTTATTATTAATTGAGTGATAGTTTACATGGAAGAACATCGGTTTTACACTCATCATTTCATTGCAATGATTACAATCACCTCCATGCATCATCAATCAACAGTATTTGCTTCTATTCCCTCTGTTTCTTGTGTATTTGTTTGTTTGCTTTTGGTGGAGGGGATGTACACAAAAACACTCAGGAATATATAATAATTTAAGCAATCAAAGGGCACATTCTGCAAGCCTGCTTCCTGGCCGCCAGCACTCAGTCTTTCTCTTTCTATGAGTATAGAGTACTCAGTTGCTCTATCTCTCCATGTCATCATCTCTGCCTCTATCTCTGGTGTTGCTGCTTCTCTGGATAGGGTCCCACTCTATAATTATTTTTTTAAAGTGTGATTATGATGTGTCTTGGCATCAATCTCTTTGGGTTTATCCTACTTGGAGTTTGTTGAGCTTCTTGGATATGTGTATTCATGTCCTTTGTCAGATTTGGAAAGTTTCCTGTCATTTTTTTCCAAATATTTGTCTCTGTCTTTCATCTCCTTTTGGAATTCTTATGATGTGTATGTTCATTTGTTGATGTCCAATACTTTCTTAGGTAATTCTCAGCAGTCTTGAGCCTTCTTAATATTTCTTTCTATTCTCCCTAATTTCTATTATTTTATCTGCTAACTTGCTTATTTTTTTTTCCAGATCAAATCTGTTGTGAAATTGTTTCAATGACTTTAACGTTTTAAATTAGGTTTTCAGCCCCAATATTTATTTTTGAAAACATGTCCATCATGTTGTTGGAACTCCTGTTGTGACACTGTAGGATAAGCACTCGTCTGTTAACCACAAGGTCAGCAATTCAAACCCCCCAAGGTGATCCTCAGTAACCCTATACAAGGTTGCTACAAGTCAGAACCAACTTGATGAACACTTAACAACAATAACAACCATTCTATTTATATTCTCATTTCAGTTATGCATAATACTTTTGATTTTCTTTCTTTGTGTTTGCCTTTTGGTGTTTTTCATTTATTTATTTTTTTAGCTTGTTTAATTTTGTTCAATTACATTTTCCCAATCTGTTCATTATTTGATTTCCCATAACTTCTCTCCCTATGTCTAGTTCACTTGCATGTGTCGTCATTTCCAGTTTCTTTGTATGCCATTTAATTTTTTGTTGAAGCTGACTGAGAAATTAGAATTTTATCAGATGTTAGCTTTCTTAATGATTAGGTATTATAACTCTTCTATAACATTAAATATTCTCTCTAATATAATGTAAGACACCAAGCTACCATTTTACATATATTCTACCTTAGTAGGGAAAATAACTATCACTATTAGATATCAAAATGTGTGTATTTATGTATCTATTAATTGAAGTATTTTGTTCTTACTTGGAATTGGGTTAAATAACTGGTCTTTTTCTTCATTGTTCACTTCCCTTGGTGGTGTTGCATTTAAGGCTGTTAAAACAATAAATTGGTGTTATGGTAAACAAAAGTAATTTATTAAAATTATTGTATGTATATGCTTGTGTACAAGTATAATATGGTATATACATTATCTTTATAATGTATTCATTTATATGTGATACAATTACATGTGTATTCATCTATATATAACATATGCTTTATACATGCATGCATATATATTTATGAAATTTACGTTACTTCTATATATGTATATATTATGATATGTACGTTGCATTTATAAATGTGTACTCATGTGCATGCTACACCAAACATAATGAGGGACTATATTGGGCAAGAGCATAATTTAAAGTTTTTAATTATAAATAAATGGAACGACAATTATAAGAGAATAAAACTTTTTTGCAGGGAAAATCAGAAAATGTGTAGTGCTTTATTAATTTCTGAGCTTATTTTACATTTTGTATTTCATATGGAAATGGCAGCAAAATGTTGACTTATTTATTCTTAGTATTAGAAGTAAAGTGATCAGGACATTTCTCCAGCTACCTAACTGTATGAGTTTACCTTTCTGTAACATTGTCCAAAATTCAGGCTCACTTTGACCCTTGGTTGGTTCTGTTTAAAACAAAATAGAACATGAGAACACAATAAGGTAATTTGTCTTCAGAAAATGTGTGCTAAAACATTTATGCATTTCTTTGCTAATTTAGTCATTTACTAGTTACATGTTGAGCTCCTAATACCATGTGTTTGACACTAAATTTCTAGGAATGAACTAGGTGCAAGCCTTATGTACCAGGAACCATCCCTTAATTTTAGAGACAGAGAAAAATCATTGTTGACTATGTTGTAGGATAATAATGGCTTTAATAAAAATATACAGGTGGTATACACAAAGAGCTTAACTCAACTTCTGAATGCTAGAAATTCTTGAAAAGGAAGATGATACTTCAACATAGGCTTGTTGTTGTTGTTGTTGTTGT